TGTTTCCTTCCTTTTCCCAGGGCAGACCCTGAGAGACCTTCCCAGTATTTTTCTGTCTCCTCGACTTTGCTGATAATCAACCTGTGTTGGGAAATCAGGCAATAGAAACACCTTTTCTCCACAGTGGTTGAATTGATCAAATTATCTACATTCTCAAAGAAAAACCCTGAAATAGAGGCATTCAAATATGCAAGTCACTTCTTCACACATGTGTACGACTTTCACAATTCTATGGGAAAACAGATTTTAGAAGAAAACATTGAAGTTTGGGGGAGGGGAAACCAGATAAACTGTTACATAAACTGTTGGAGAACTTAAAGAGCATTGCAAACAGGTGCTCAATAACTAATAGTTGAGCTGAAGAAAAAGAACTTTCCATACACTAGTTTGGCGTTCATGGCTACAGACAGGCTAGATTTCTCTCCCTCTCTGCCCTTTGGTGCAGGTCCCTCCTTTTTTCCCCTATCTCTTGCCTCAATTTCCTCACTTTCTTTAGCTTTCCCCTTTTTAGTTTCTCCCCCTTTAATTTTTCATCATTCCATTCCCTAACCATCTTTCCCTGCCCAAGCAGCCCATGTTTCATATTGGAGTAGACACAGAAAAGGACTGATCAAGAGGGGCCAGGACTGGTGATGCAACTTTGCCAAAGGGATTAACATGTCAGCTAGTTTTAGAGAGTGTGGTGCTTAATTTAATGCTTGGCTAGGCTCTGATGCCTAATTGTTTGGCCAGACACCAGTCTAGTCGTTATTATGAGGAAGTTATATGTGATTAAATCAGTTGACCTTAAGTTAAGCAAATTACTTTCAATAAAGTGGGTGAGCTTTAATCAGCTGAAGGTCTTAAGAGCAAAAAGGGAGTTAGTTTCCCTAGGGTGTGCTGCCTCCAGACTATGAACAGACATTTTGGCAGAACTCTCACTCTTCCAATCGCCTGGCCTGTGGATCTTGGAACACAAACCTGCAGAAGTCTCTAGCCTGATGCCTGATGTGTTGTCTAAATTACCTCTCTGGGTTCTAATCTCCATTACAATGGCTAGATTTTACTTCTCTGGGTTCTAATATCCATTACAATGGCTAGATTTTAACCTTTCTGGGTTCTAACAAGTTGTAATGCCAGTTATAAAGCCAATTAACAAGTTGTAATGCCAGTGAGAAGTGCTCAGGGTTGAGTTGTTTATCAGGACATGTTAGAAAGTTCTGTCAAGTCTGCTAAAAAATGACCAAAGGGCAGACCATGCTGCTATAAGCCTCCATCTGAAGGCATTCAGCTTAAGTTCCTTGGGTCAGCAAGTCCAACTTCCCCAATTAAGTGCCCAGTAGCACCCCACTCTGGAAGCCAGCCTCCTGCACAAAAGCACTCATCTTAACTTGCTCTGTGAGGAACCTGGTGGTGTAGTGGTTACTCGCTGAACTGCCATCCACATGGTTGGCGGTTCAAAGACACCAGTAGCTCCATGGGGAATAGGGCTTTTTCTACTCCTGTAAACAGTTAGTCTCAGAAACCCACAGGTGGTCACTCTGAGTCAGCATTGACTCAGTGGTAGTGAATTTGGTTTGATTTTACTTGCTGTGGTGGTTGGGAAGTCCAGCACTCTGTCCATGCTCTGGCTCCTGATCTGCTGCTGCTGCTGCTGCTGCTTTGATAGTTATAGGTGGCTTCTGGATACAGGAGATTCACTGCACAGGTGTCTTGAGTCCAGAGGATATGCTCTACTCTTGGCTTTTGCTGGTAAATGAGAGCCCCCTAATTGGGGGCTCCTACAATTCTTATCACAATCCATATATACATCTATTGTGTCAAACACATCAGAGGGCTCATTTTATATGCAGCAGGATGGTATTCCAGGGAATCCTGTTCCAATTTACTCAAAGGTGAATCCTATCTGTTACTCCCCCCACCTTCATACCAGACCCATGCAAGGAAAGGTCTTTTGAAGAGTTAGAGACTTTGGCTAGAAATACCACATTAAATAATTCGTTGCCTCTGCACCTGACCTACACATTTTGGATTTCCTAGCTCTCACAATTGCATGTGCCAATTCCTTAAAATCTATAATTCTCTCCAGATATAGATAATCCCACCAGTCTGTTTCTCTAGAAAACCTAAACAGAACCCAAAGACTAAAGGAAAGGTGTTAAACCAGGCTAAGGAAGAACAGCTGCAGGGGAAAGATTACAGTCAACGAAGAAGGTACAGGAGAGCACAGGTAAACCATGACTCCATTTCTTATGCTTCTACAACCATATCAGGCCCTGGAGATAAGGGGAGAGAAAATAGAATCTCAACTCAGAATGCAATAGATTGGAGCGAGAAACTCAGTGAGCGGCGATAGGAGCAAAACAGAGGAAGCAAGAAGAGGCTTCACAGAATAAACAAACATGAGGTGAATCTTACACAAAGAATCCTCTTGTGTTGTGAGTAATAAAGTCTATATGTCTCTGAACTAAGACTCTTCGGTCTTTTACTGCAAAACCATATGCCAAGTCAAGAAGGTAGACCAGGGAACCTGATTGGGCTTGGATGTTGGCTATGCAGAAGCAGTGGCCGGGGTTGAAAGTGAGGAGGGTGACAGAGGTCAAATAATGAAGGAACCTTTCTCCATGTTATTCTGGGGTTCTTGTGACCTACTTTCATGAATGTGGACTTGCGCAGGCTTCTGTCACTAGACTGGTCTTTTCAACGGATTGTTCTGGGATCAGAATAAGTAGCCGGGTAGAGTTCCAGCAGGGAAACCAATTAGGGTGGTGCTCCAGTGCTCCAGGCAAAGGGTGATGAAGACGTAAACTAAAGCAGTGGTTCTCAACCTTCCTAATGCAGTTCTTCATGTTGTGGTGACCCCCCCCCCACAACTATAAAATGATTTTCGTTGCTACTTCATAACTGCAATTTGGCTACTGTTATGAATCGGGTGACCCCTGTGAAAGGGTCGTTGGACTGCCAAAGGGGTCGTGACCCACAGGTTGAGAACCGCTGAACTAAAAGTATGTGCGGCTAGAGGTGGATGGGGAAAATGGGCCAGGATGAAGAGCTCTTGGAGGAAGACTCATGGAACTGGAAAACACAGTGGATAAGGAAGCACGAAAGTTTTGGGAAACTTCTCCACAGGCCTTTCCAATTCTTAATTGTCTTGGCATAACAAGAATGCAAGGCCCTGATTACTCTGTACTTGGGCCATTTCTCAGTGCCATTTGTTTGAGGAATTAGGTTTTGTCTCCCTCCAGGACCCAAAGCTCACTTGCTTTGGGCATGCTATAACAGCAGTAGATTCCTCAAGTTCATTGCTTCTCAGCTGTGAAGAAACCACACCATCTGCAGCATTTACATGTGCCCAGTGTCACGTGTGAGGCTTAGAAGACAAGTATGATGCCCATGCTACTTGCTGTGGTGTGTGTAATAAAGCACTGTGTGTCTCTGGCCTAAGACTCTTAGATCTACTACAAAACCATATTGTCTTCTATTCCTATGTAACAAGCCGTTATTATTATAGTGAAGGCGAATTTTATGTTTGCCCCCCCCCAATGATTTCCTTTAGTTATTGAAACAGGCACTAATGTAGGTTTTTCTTAAATTTCATAATTTATGAGCTTATAAATTGGGTAAGTTCAAAGCCCAGACCTAAAAGGAAGAAGTAAGATTTCTGGCTCTGAGTGGCTTAGTATAAAGGGGTCCCTCTCATTAGGGTAGAGAGCTGGCTGGGAGAAGCAAGATAATGAGGATAATTTTACATATGGTGATTGCATACCTCCCCCCACAGCATTTTATTGTCAACTGATACAGGTTCCCCTTGCTAAAAGTGGAATGCTTTTTATGAAAGATTTTGTAAGCAGCAATGGCATAAAGCAAAGGCAATTAGTGTTCATTTATAGGAGGGAAAATTTTGAGTATTCCCAGACCCAGAATATAGCCTACCAAATCATCCCAACAACACACAAAACCTAAAACCACACCAGTGTAGAGTAATGGCAGGAATGATAGGATATCTACACAGGCTATATCCAGGAGGAATCATGAATGTACATGGTCATTCCAGGGGAAGGAGCTTGGCGATACCAATCTCCCAGCTCAGGTGCTCGCTGACTCTTTAACGACTTGCTGCAAAACAAATGCTGAAGGTTAATATTGCCTGTTGCCTCCCTTCTCCACCAAGGTTTCTTCCAGTTATCGCAACAGGTACTAGTAGGTCACTCACAGAAGCAAAATGGTCGAAAGCAAAATTTCAAAACACAAGGGATATGGACCCCCTGATACCTTTCTCATCCGTAACTGAAACAGAAACAAATGCCTCCAAGGTTGTCCAGTCTCGGCCCAGCAAGATACTTAGCGCCCCACTTGTTGGACATATGATTGCTCATGCCCAGAAAGCAGGTAGGAAATGAGCTTCCTGCGTAGTACCCCCTGCGTCATTCTCTCTTGAGTGAGCCACTTCATTTGGTGATGTGTGCAGCACTACCCAATGACCTCAGCGCTAACCAGAAACACCTGTCGTCCCAAGGCCCTGCCCCACAGAGCACGTCCTCTCTCTCCTTCTAGAGGAGAGCATGGGGTGCCAGCAAAGAGGCCGTCAGGGAAGAGAGAGGCAGAGTAACAAAAGAGGAAGGACCCAGCCGCAGCCATTTCCTTCTGGCGCAGGGACTCTGCCAATGGCCAGTCTTGTTCACTGAGCAAGGACTCAATGAAAGTTTTAAAAATAAATGCTTCACTTTGCTTTTTAATCCAACCAGATGTCATGAAATCGAATAGAACTGGGCTCTACATGATTTTTTTTTTTTTTGCACATGAATTTTATTGGCTGCTTTTCTTTCTTTAGAGTCTCTTGGTGTGGACTACAACCTTTCAGTGAGCAGCCAAGCATGTTAACTGCTGACACCACTCAGTGACCCCTTTAATCCATTTCACAACCCTGAACAATGCCTTTCGTATTTGGTACACCAAAATGCTATTTTCCTTTGTCTTTAAAGCATGGATCCAATGGATACAATAGCTGCGTGGCCACTTACCTGATCGTTCAAAAGCTGCTGGTTTAGAGGTGTCCAGGAACTCATCTTGGTCTGCATTTTGAGACCTTCAATGTTTCTGGGTGGTGCAAAGGCCATCATGAAATAACTGGATATTCATCCATTAAAAAAGCTGTACCTATCAGAAGAAATCAATCATATCATCTTCAGAATGCTAAAATTACTAGCATGATCTAATCTTTTAGTCTTTGGGGGGGGGTGAGGGACACAGGGAGAAGGGAGAGAAGAGATATTGGGAGCATTTTATATTCTGTGGCTGTTACTCAGTTGATTTAGTCAGTGACCATATAGGACAGAGTAAAACTGCCCCAGTGGAGCCCTGGTGGGTGTGCATTGGGCTGTGATCCACATGGTCAGCAGTTCAAAACCAGTAGCAGCTGTGAGGGAGAAAGGGTGGGGCTTTCTACTCCCTTAAACAGTTAATGTCTCAGAAACCCACAGGGGTCACTGTGAGTCAGCCCTGACTGGACAGCAGTGAGTTTGAAGACTGTCCCCGACGGTATCCAAGTTCACAGAAGCAGATGGCCACACCTTTCTTCAGAGCAGCTTTTGGTTAGCAGCTGGACATTTAAGCACTCTTCTACCCAGGCTCCTTGTTGCACGTGTCAGACCCTTAATATGGATGCAGCATTAAAGCTCCTGGTGGGGCTCTGGTGGCACAGTGCTTACACCACGATTCGCCAGGTCAGCAGTTTGAAACCACCAGCCACTCCCCAGGAGAAAGATGAAGCATTCTACTCCCATAAAGACTTAAAGTCTCTGAAACCCACAGGGGCAGTTCTACCCTGTGAGTAGAACTCTGCTATGAGTAGGCTAAGAGTAGGCAGCGAGTGAGAAAGCTCATAACCATCGTGTGAGGTGTTGGGTGTTGGCTCATCTTACAGATGAAAAGAGTTTCACTGAAGCGGCCTGACCTGCCCAAGATTATTTGTGGAGCCAGCAGGTGGGAGAACTGGGATGAGGCCTAAGCCAGGTTAAGTCCATTTCATTGGACCATGATAGGGAAATACAGACTCAATCACTGCCAGCTAAGGATATATACACCATATAGTCCAGAAAGAGTAGGATCTTAACTACTACTCCTGTTTGAACTTTCTGACAGCGAAACAACAATGTTGTATTTCATCATACCAGCTGCCCGTCAGTCAATTCCTACTCATGGTGACCTCATGTGTTAGGAGTTGGATGGTGCTCCGTAGTGTAGTCAGTCATAGGTTGGCTGGTCTTTCATCTGAGGACCACCCTCAACTGTTGCCTATGGAACTTGAACTATTCCTTTTCTACATTTTTATCCAAAAGAAAATCAAAGATGAATACATATGGACAGCCAGTAAGGTAGACAGGAAACTTTATACAAAGGGGGCTTCAAAAGCTTCATGGAAAAATTCTATCATTTTTAAATTCACTTTTCCCAAGAACCTTTTGAAACCCCTTCACACGTGCAAGGCGAGGATGACAAACGTGCTTCCTCTTGCTGATGGAATGGGAGGAGTGGTTTGTTGTGCGTGCCACATAAAAATTTCTCTTTTTAATCATAGTTAGTGGTCTCTATGGTAACCATGTGTGCATGTCCATGTATATACTGCCTGTCATCTGTAATAGAGCAAGAGGAACAATCAGATAAAACATAGTTGTAAAATACAGAACAGGCCAGCCCTGTTTGCATGCTTTCAGAGTTGTAGTACCGGAAGGGCTGTTTCCCTGGCGAGGCCCATCTCAAGACAACCAACTTTCCCCTTAGTTCACATGATACCTAACTCTAAGGAGACAGGACGAAGGTAACTACCAGCTTAGAATCCTGGGAAGCCTCTAATACACCTGGCCCTCATACAGAAACTGTGCACATAATCAGTTAGAAAGGAGCTTGTTTTTGACATGATGTAGGAATAGAGGAAGAGAGTTTCTCAGCTTGGATCAGTAGTTTTTAACTTGGTATTAGCAATATGCTATATCCATGTGCATTTTTCTAAGAAGAGGATTCACAGAATTCATTACAGAGCTTTGTGGCCCTCCAACAGAGTAAACATACCTGGTTTAAAGGGGAGAAAGATAAAAACATAAACAACAACAAAAAAGATGTAAATATTTTTAACTAAGCAGATCTAGATTTTTTCAATAGTGCTTTGCATCTATAATTTACTTGCTCCCATGTACTTTTATACCTGTCAATTAATAATATCATAATGAATTCATTTCTTATTTCTTTTATAAGTTATCTAAGTATATGATTATTCATAATTAGATGTTAGAGAGAGGCTAAGGAGAACCTGAGGGCTGACCTGATCCCCCCTTTTTTTGTTTTTTGTTGTTGTTAGGGGCCTTCAATTCGGTTCCAACCCATAGCGACTCTCATCTTTGCACAATAGAATGGAACGCTGTCCAGGTAGCTTTGAGTCGCCATGAGTTGGAATCACTCAACAGTAGTGAGTTTGGAGGGTTTTGGGGGGTGGTGTGGGGTGGGGTGGTGTTGGTACTAGGCTTGAATTCGAGGTACAGAGACAAGAGTTTCTATTTTAATAGAACTTCCAGTCTACTGTTAGATATCTTGTTTTGTTTTGAAATAACCAGTTGATCATGTCAGAATATACAAGTCCCTTAGCCTGGAAGTCTAAGTCCTATGTGATTTTATCCCCACCTCCCTTCATGCACCTGTGCCAAGCAAGACACACAGGACTCCTGCCCACGCTGTGAACACGGCACACAACTTTGATGCTTTTGAATCTTTGCTTATGCGGTTTCCGCAAGCTGCTGAACTCCTTTCATAGCACTGCACCAAAACCACTGCGTGGATCCCATTCTGACTCAAAGCAACCTTGGCGTAGAGTGCAACTAACCCACAGGGTTTCCAGGACAGACATTTTTACAGAAGCAGACTGCCACCTCTTTCTCCCATGAAGCTGCTGGTGGGTTTGAACCACCAACCTGATGGATAGCAGCTGAGCACGTCCCTACTGAGTCACCATTTAACCTTTACTAGGTTAAATGAACACAAGTTAAAAAAAACCACCCTGAATGAATGAATGAATGAATAATACAATAGCAGGTGATTTAAAGGTCATGTTAGGTGAAAGGCATCACACAGAATTTGGCAGATTACCAATTTTATTTTAATTTTACGAAGAGTAGGTCTGGTTTTTTTTTTAAAACACTGGCCACCCATTGTACATGCTGCTGCAGCGTTAGTTAAAGTGGAATCTCTGATTGTATCACGAAATTGGCAAGGTATGGTTATATAAAAACGAATTCATTTCCAGTTCAAATAGTTAAGATCTGAGCAAGAACTATAACACAATGCAAAGCGCTAATGCTTGGTAGACATAAAATAATTATTTGTTGACTGTTAATTTCCTGACACTTTAGCGGAAAGGGGAGAACGCTATGCAATTCCCAGAAGCACTGACTAGGGTTGGGAGAGGCTCCGAAGGATCTGAGGGGGGAGGCTCAAAAGAGTCTCCATCTTTTTCATGCACTGCCCATCGCGCTCACCTCTTTCCTCTGGTTTCCTTCTTCAAGTCTCAAACGCTGGGGTTGCCATAGTTGCAGGAGGCCAGCTTTTTCTTTGCCTCCTACCAACCCCCACCCTTTCTAGCATCCAGTAGCCCAATCACAGCCTATAAATCCCATCGCTGGCATCCGGGGTCTCGTAGGTAACAATGTGTGGTCTCTTGATTGGCCAAGAGATCCAGGAGGGCTGGCTCCAAAATTTGGCCTAGAGATGAAATTTTAAAAAGCGTGAGCACGGAAACGGCGAGAGAAGCTGCAATGTCCCGATATAATGCTGAGAAGAAGAGGCATTCCATCCTGAAGCAGGGAAAGCCCCCATCACGATAATATTGCTTTAGAAATCCGCCCTCCTAACTGGGCGTGCCTAGTTCAACTGCTCTGGTCACTCCGGGGCTCCGAAATGAAAACTCCACTTTTCCAGGTTTTAAGAATGGCCAGCAGGTAAAAGAAGGCTCCTGGAAGAAGAAGGAACAGACCGGTTCACAGAAAGAATAGCACCTGCAACCGGAAGCGGAGGGATGGGGAGGGAAATGGCCAGGCACATAAGTGCTTCTCCACATAAATGTCAATTTCTGGATTATGGAATTCAGCTGGGCAGATGCACCAGGGAACCAGCAGATGGCATGCTGAATAAGAATAAATCCAAACTCGGCGATCTTAAAATCCAAGCTAATTTAAGTAATGAAATTTGTTGAGCTCCCACTATACAATAAGGGGTGGAGTGAGGAAAGAAGGATAAAAGTAAACGTAATGAAGAAGACTGGAAAAGGCATTGTAGAAACAACCAATGGAAGGCATACGTCCGGTGACAGAACCAGAAACAAGTGCAGGAGAATACCAAAGTGTTCAGAATTCCAGAAAGGACATTCTTCAGATAAGACATGGAAAGCAGTTTTTTTTTTGTTTAATCATTTTATTAGGGGCTCAAACAACTCTTATCACAATCCATACACACATCAATTGTGTAAAACGCGTTTGTATATTCATTGCCCTCATCATTCTCAAAACATTTTCTCTCCACTTAACCGCTCCCCCCCACGCCCCGCATCAGGTCCTCATTTTTCCCCTCCCTCCCCGCTCCCCCCTCCCTCATGAGCCCTTGATAGTTTATAAATTGTTATTTTGTGGAAAGCAGTTCTTGACAGCAGCTAACAAGGACAAAAAGATTTTCCTCGCTACCTGGTTTCCTAAAACATATGGATTCTCTTCTAGCTTAACAGCTGTTTGTATCGTGCTTCTTGGGCAGTGTTGTAACCGCCCAAGAGAAGGGGAGCTGGGGGTGGGTGGGTGGGGGTGACGCTCACAGCCTGCAAAGTGATGACACTGATATTAGAACCCTGGTTGTCTGAATTCCGCACTAGTGGTTTCACCACTGACCAGGTTGTACGTAAACCAATAAACTGAAGTATTTGGGGGTGGTGACCTGGAGTGGTATGTAGATGTAATGTGAAATTACCACGTACTACCTACTAGGTAACCTTTATGACTTCAAAACGGGTTCATCCAGAAAGCGACCAGTTTTAACAATGTTGAGAGTACTGTGTTTCTCTGTGAAGTCCCTGCTCATTAAAGACCTGTTGGTGGTTACAACATGGAATTAAAGAGAGATGGGATAGTAGCATTTCATTTTATTTCTGATGGATTTGAATAATTTATCCCTGAAACTAAGGTCCCTCTGTTCCTATACCTCATCCATCTGGCTATTGTTGAGTCGTGGGAATCTGAGTCACACCATTCACAGCCTGTTCACACTAAGTACATGCACATTAGCTCTATACCTGCAATACTTCAACGTTGCCTTCAAGGGAAAAATTTGAACATTATGAAAATCTGGCGGTTTTTGTAACATCCTTATGACTGAATCCAGATCCATGGGGAAAATGTTAACGTGTGTTTTTGCTCAGCAGATGCAGTTGAAGACCCCATCACACTTTCCAGTTCTCATTCCTTTCTGTTCCCTAAAATGAACCATTGTTAGGAAATTGGTGCGTATCCTTCACCTACATTTATGCTTTTATGATATATACATGGTTTGCCATCATACACACCATATCGACTCCTAGGTGGCCTTTTTAAAATGGTGTTATAATTTATATGTTGTGGTATGCTTCCATTCCTCATTACATTTGGAAGATATAACCGTGCTGAAAGTTTTGGTGATAATTTCTACACCATCCCACGTCCTGATGTGATGTTCTATGTCTGATAATTCTTACAGTTAAGCTAGAACGATGTGTAAATTACAGAGGTACGTACCAGCACATTCGCTGGCACATGGGATCTGGAAATGACTAAAACAGGCACACCGATATTACACACACACACCCCTGCCTCCTTGCTCACCAAACAGGCACACCGATATTACACACACACACACACACACACACACACACACACCTGCCTCCTTGCTCACCAAACAGGCACACCGATATTACACACACACACACACACACACAACCACACACACCCTGCCTCCTTGCTCACCCCCAGAAGCAGTGGCACTGGCTTCGTACAACACCGGTTTACCTGAAATCAGTTGAAGGATTTGTATTACTGTAAGTCCCATGTATTATCAAAAGAATGAACTGATGCCAGTGAACTTTAGGTTGAAGAAGGAAGAAACCGATGAGAAAGAAAGGGGTAAAACTGCAGTAAAATAAAAACAAAACAGCCTTCGCTTTGAATGAATTCAGATCCTGCCAGGTTGTTATTGAAACGTTGCGTGGCTTTTGGGCAAGTCATTTCTGGGTGTTTTTTCCTTGTTTGAGAAAATGCTAAGTTGGATTTAGATAATCTTGGATTTTTCCAGCTCTAAAATCATTTGTGTAGGGAAAAAAAGGGGGAGGAGCTATTCCCTAAGGAGTAAGACGCTCCTTAAGGAGACTCGCTACTAACAATAGCCCGAAGCTCCGCTTGTTTATTTACTGAGTGCTTCGCAATGACACAAACCGGTCCCGGCAAGTACCCTATCTGCTATGTCGTTTTAGCGCCGAGTTCTGCAATGACTTAATTCTCTACCTCTACTTGCAGCCAGTTTCACCCGTACCACCCGGTAACCCGCCTTTGGCCATCTCCAGCCCCCGGGGTTCCGAGGTCCGCACACTTGTTCCCCAAACAGGTTTCAGGAGTCTTGCAACAGCATCACAGTCTTGGCGGACCGACAGTAACCGCTGTTCCAGCGGGGGATAAAGTGCTCTACCAAGCGATCGAAGCGCATTTAAGAAAAAACGCTTCTAGACCTGGAAACAACTGCGCCGGGGTCGGGCAGTTAAAAGCACAACCGTGGGCGCGAAGCAGAAGACAACGGAGCCAACCCGTCTAGAAGCGCGCAGCTGGGCTCAAAATGGGTGCGCTCGGTGGAGCGTGCGCAGAGCGCCTGCGTCGTGCGTGCGCGCGCGCGCTCTCCCCGGGCCGCGCGCCCCCGGCGC